AAAGATGGCGTATCGACATATCGGCCATTTTTCGGAGAAATTACTTTACAAATGTTTTTATTAATTTCTCAAATCCAACAAATTGTTGAAGGTTAGTATTTTGTGACTGGTTTATTGACTACCCAAGGATTCCAAAACCTTCATTCATTGGATTTTAGAAAATGGTTTCATATCCATTTTAAAGGGGGTGGGCTTACACTAGTATTCAAAGAAATACATTAATGATATTTGATAAGAGAAGATAAAACTGTGTATTCAACAAGGCATGAAGCATGAACAATGCATCATAAACAGTAATCAGCACAATACAAAACTAATACTAAAATTTGTGTTCCTAAAATGTAATAATATGAATGTTTAATGAGTGTTATTTAATTCATCATATCAACTGGACTATGTTACCTGAGGTCATGGTTTACTAGGCTAAAAAATTCTAACTACTGTACTTCACAACCATGCTTACAGTAGGTTTAGTTCTCATTCTTCTACAGCCAGTGACTTGGAGAGACTTGGTCACAGTATGGTAAGTTAGGTTCTGTACATTAATACATGGCCAACAGATAAGGGGACAGGTTTGGTGTAGATTGTAATATGTTATTTCATTGGAAAATAAACAATGCATGAGTCAACATAGGTCATACAGAGTGCACAGTACAATATCACAATTTGTTACAATCCACTACAATATTGTGTGCTACAGCAGAAATTTTCAGTACTCAATGTTTTCTGACAAACTATATCATTTGAAACATTGAATTAATTTGATAATTGGCTGTATTTGTTTTCTTTCAGGATGTAAGCGATGAAGAGTATTTAGAGGAGTCGCAAAAAGACTTTGAAAACAGCAGTGTACCACCAACAGTAGAACAAGTCCGTTCAAGTGAAACAACAGAAAGCGAAGAAGCTAAGTTGGAACGTCTAGAACGAAGAAGACAACTAGAGATGAGAGAGGCAGAATCTAGACTTTTTGGTGGACAAATTACTCCAATTGTAAGAATCTTATGACAATACACTACCTAGTTTAATGCTGTCATTTGCCCATCAAAACTCTATTTAGTTTTTAATTTTAAAAAACATACCGTAAAACTTTGAATTGGGCTTAATTTCGAGATGAAGCCCATCTTGAATTGAAGCCCCTCTCTAGTTTACAAAATTAGCCTCGAAAAGAAGCCCATGGGCTTCTTTTTTAAATAGTATACTGTACATACACTGTAAATTGAACAGTGGCGAATCCAGGAATTTGAAATAGAGGGGGGGAGGGACTGTCACAGGTGGAGGGTCTATACTACCCCAGCCCCACCATGGTTGGGGCTGAGTTAAGAAAATTATGATAATGGCACCTCTAGATGGCCGGAAATGACACTCTTAGACTCAAAATTTTAGTCGAATTTTCTTTTTTCTTAATTTAAAAAAAAATTTTGACAAATTTTAGTGGCGGCTGGGTCCCCCTATTGGTGGTTTTTGTATTAATTTTTGTACAGCATTGATTGAAGTAGCCGGCGAAAACATCGTAGTAGCCGATCGAATGCGCCGGCCGCCGGCTCTTAAATAAACCCCTGATTTATACAGTAGTTTTGGTGATTTAGTGCCAGTTAAACACACTCCATAATATAGATTGATGTTACAGTGGCCTTATTTATTGTTTCATAGTAAAATTCACAAATTTCAGCATTCATTTTGAAATAAATCCCCCTCTTTATTTTGCAAAAGTAGCCTCGAAAAGAAGCCCATCCAAAGTTCACAAAAAAGGAAGCCCGGGGCTTCAATTCAAGGTTTTACATTATGTTCTTACCATCGTCTTCTTGTATTTGATTGGATGACTTTAAGGTCACATGGGAAATAAATTAATGACTCCATTCAATGAAAAATGTACATGAATGTATGAAAATGTTCCATTCAACTTGTTCATATTTTACCTAATGAAAATATTCCATTCCATTGCACTCATAACTAATCATTATTTTTATAATCATTAAGCTAGCTTTTAATCTCTTGTATATTGCACTCCTATACTATCTTAATTTAAGTACACATATACATCGGTTTGGTGCAGAGGGAATGTTGTGGTTATTCAACCTTGAGGTTGGTGTTGGTGTTTCAGTCCGTCGCTGTGCAATTCCATTGTGTACTTGAGCAAGACACTTTATCTTCATTGCTTCAGTTTACCCAGCTGCATCAATGGGTACCAGAAAATTGCTGGGAGTAACCTGTGGTGAACAGTGTCCCACCCAGAGGGAGTATTACACTCTCATCTGCTTCACGCTGCAGAAATTGAGGATAAACTCCACAGGCCAATGAGCCCAGTGGCTTGGCAAGGAATTACTTACATATTCAAACAATGATTTTCGGTCACTAGATTTAATATTGATATTTTCAGCCAACTGTAGACCCTAGACCAAAGAAGAAACGAGCCTCATTAAGTGATTTGCAAAACATTGAGGGCATTGATGAACTTTCTGTAAGAGCTTTAAAAGAGATTCTTGCCACAAATTTTGTTGATTACCGTGGTTGTGTTGAGAAGAAAGAATTGGTAGAAAGAGTCAAACGGTTATATATTTCCAAGCAAAAACCAAATGGTGAGTTCAACTTGGATTTTTGAATAATATAACATTATTTTACTGATGTATTTTTGCTGTGTACTGTAGATGTTGCAACATTTGGATTTACTGTATAACTTTGCTGGTGAATCCAGTGGGACTATTAATAATATTTTTATTTAGAGTTAGTTTTACTGTAATACTGTTTTTTTTTTATTTGCTTATTTTTAATTACATATCTTTTATAATTATAATAATTGAAAAAAAATATTATAAGTACTCTACTGTCATTTGTTCTTTTGTAATTTTATATTTTATTTTATTTTTCAGATGCTGAGGGTAAAGAAGGTAAGATAATAAATTCCAAGCTCCTAAAGCAAAAAAAATCTGTCATACTAATTGCATTACTAGCTGCTGTAATTTGGGGTATTGTAATTTAGAAGTCCCATTTTATAGCTAATAAATACTATAACTCCTCACATATGAGGCTTGCCATCCCAAAACCATCATCACTGCCCAAAAAATGAAAAGAGTTGTTAATATATTCTTATTCTCCACAGTGTAAGCTTTAAAATGATGGGTCATACTAGAATCGACTTATATTGGCAAAGTTATGAGTAAAAGTATTATGGCTTTTTTGTACTAAAGTGGAGAGCAGTTTCGCTCAGTTGGCTAAACTTGTGGTAGCCACTGTGTGTGCACTGAGCCATAGATATCTCTTGGTCCCCTTTTCAATTCCCATCCCTGCTTTCCTTGTATTTCAGCTGGAGGGCTTGATGCAAGTTATGATAGCCCACCGTCTTTCTTTCAGATGAGACGTTCAAACCATTGGTCCTGTGTACATTATGGCCCACATTACGGAAAAGAGTAGGGAATTGTCTATGGGCTGCCATACGCAGCAAAAGTCCATGTTAAAATCAAAGTGTAATTGCAAAATGCAATGTCTAATTTATCAAAACGTAGGCGTAAATTTCTCAAAATGTAGATCTAGTTTCCCAAAAAGAAGTTATAATTTTTCAAAACATAGTTCAATTTTTCCAAAATGTAGTTCTAATTTCTTTAAAATGTAATTCAAATTCAATTTACGCTGGAGTCCAATAGTAGTGTGAAATCCAATTGCCCCAACCAGAATTTGCGTTGAGTATTGTTTATGTTTGCATTTTTTGGCTTATTAAACCACACCGCAAACCAAACACAATTTCACGTTTCAACCGGGTGGAAACGATTGCAAACCTTTTTTAATTTTTTCACTTTAAATTTAAAAATATGAATTTTCATTACCAATATTTTTGCATGCAAGAAGTTATCACTAGCATAGTTGACTCCCCTTCCCCTGGCATCTGTCAGTAAATTTATATTTAAGAATTGTGTTCTATTTTCACGGATTTTCGATAATTTACCTCTCTATTTGTAGATCCCAGTGAAGAAACTGACGAGAACTTATGTAAAATATGTATGGATGCGACGATAGACTGTGTCCTCCTTGAATGTGGACACATGGTGACCTGCACAAAGTGCGGTAAGGTTCTCGCTGAGTGTCCGATATGTCGGGTTTTCATCACACGTGTTGTCCACACATTCAAGTCCTAATTTGTAGCAAATATGTATTCATGATAAATGGAATGAACATCAAATTATATATTGTATGGAGTTTAAATACAGAGTTAGCTCCAAAGGCGTAACCTCACCTGGGTTGTATGCGCCTGTACCCTAGTAATCTACAGGTGTATAGCAACTTATCGGTAGGTTGATGGAGGTAACTAAAGCGAGCCACACTGCGCCGATTGTCATGTAACAGATGCGATTCCATGGAGAATGCAATGAAGCATGCACGACAGATTGTTTTTGTTGCTTAGTTTGAATTGGATTGGACAGTCAGCAGTCGTTAAGTCCTGAAGGAGAGCGATGATGGATTTGTCAGCCAATGGTGTTACAGTATGCAGTTTGTACCCAGCTTATCAGTGATCAGGCAGTACAAAAAAATTGTTTACACTCTTGTGCTTCCCTGATGGCAGATTGTTCTCATACCAAATTTAATGTCTTGAGATCAGAAAGCACTTGCAAGTAATATACTCAGTATATAGACTATAATCATAGAGAATGTTTTATAGGTATCATATATATAAATGTCTTATGTTAATTATCATCACAGATACTCGGCTGGATGTGATAGAACACAATCCTACTTTTTATTTTTGAGTGCCTGCTTTGAAGTACAGTATACCCTGATTTAATACCACAAAGGCCGCAATCGCACTGGACATTTTTTGGTGAAACTATCTGAGACGCTGGTTAGTTTTACCATAATTATTAGGCCAGTGCAAACAGCCCAGAAATCTTACCATTTAGGAAAACTTACCGAGACGAGCTGTTTGTTTAACCGAGTGGATTGTGCCAGTGAAACTGACCAGGTTAATTTTTTTACCAAGCCGAAAAGTCCAATGCGAACACGATTGAACATCCCAAATTATTTGAATGTTACTCAATGGCAGTGAACAGATTAGTGCTTCACTAGTGGTTTTTCTTAGCTTGGTCGATTTTACCATTCCTTGTAGTAAAACTAACCAGCTCAAAAATCCCAGTGCGGGCAGCAGTAAGAATTAACCATTGGAATGTTAACCCACATTCTTGGTAAAATCTTCTCTCTTTTAAGTCCATTGCGATTACACCTATAAAAAGAATCTATGTTGCACACATTTATTGACAAATTAAGTTATTACTAACTGATCAGAGATGCAAGTATTCTTCACAAAGGAATTGCAGCTATTTATGGGAGAGTACAGCAGGTATGGTTTTTGGCTCTCAACTTCAAGTGAGGTGTTTAAACCCCATCCTGACCTGGCACATCATGTTTGTTTCTTAACCCAAGGGCATAATTTTGCACTGAGTAGGATGGAAATTTGAAGTAGAATGTAATTGTATTCCTTCTGGCAATAATTGCTTTATGGCGAATCATTCCCTCATGAAATATTGCGGTACAGGTAATTTCATGGCTTGGAATGCTCCCAGAAACAGAAAGTTTTTTTCTTTTTTTTTTATTTTTCATTCACGCATTTCAACCACATTCTTCCTTTATAATCATTAACTTTGATTACTTTTTGATTTTATTTTGGAAAAATTGAGATTTTTTTGAAATCTACAGAAATTATGTATTTCAAACTTTGTGAAAACATAAAACAATAATACCTGAATCATCAACCATTCTTGCATAAGCATCAGACTGTATATATTTTTATATCTTGGTATTAAATTATTTTTAAAATTTTAGTTTTGATGCAAAATATGATTCTGCTACAAAATGTGATATAAATTGGGAAGAATACAAAGTCCTCTTCAAAAAGTGGATATTGCACCTGTTCTATTTATTATTTCAACGTTTTCAGTAGAAAACCAAGTATCTTTATGTGTTGTAAGGAGTGGAGCAGTCTTGGTAGTAAAAAAATAACAGTTACTGTTATTTGCAGACACCATGACCCTGAGGTTAGACGGCAAGAACTTTACCGTCTAAACCACTACTTATAAAATAATGTTGTTTTTATGTTGTTTATGTCATCATTGTTGTTGTCATTGTTGCTTTCTTGTTGTGCTGTTATAATTTATTGTTATTATTATTATTATTATTATTATTTGTTGTTATTATTATTATTATCATCATTATTTACATTTGATATGGTCTATAAAATGGATGTCAGTGTGTTTTGCTATGCATAGGATCAAACTGATTATGTTGAAATGAATTACTCTGTGATCAACAATTTGTGTTATCTGTATTTAAAATAATACAAATTTTAAAATGTGGTTTAGAGAAAGGTTGTATGTTACTGTACAGATACATTTATAAAATGTGACTACTGTATTATGAAATTTATTCAACAGAATCCAGTAACAAGAATATTAATAATAATAATAATAATAATAATAATAATTTGTATATAAAGTGCAGTTACACAGATGGTCTCACAGCACTATTAGAAAAAAATGAGAAAGTAATATTTAGTACTTTCTATGAAGTTATTATATAGAAGAGACAAAAATGATCAAATTGAGAAAAATAAACATACTATTAAAAAACATTACAAATTCAGAAAACTATGATAAACCTAGCCTACCCTTAAATAAATTATGTGGGAAAGTAGATTTAACCATTTAAACTTTAGGGCTTGTTTCAGAAGAGTCCCCAAAGGACAAAATATTAACACTTTGTATAATAATTTGTTACTGCAATTTCACAATTTTTATAATTTATTATTCCATTCACATACATGTTGACCCCTGGATTGGCCATAAAGTTTTATAGAATTGGGGCGTAGAGTAGTCTTTATTTTATGGTGGTTATATCAACCTCTTGATACTACGGGCCTCTATAGAATTTTTAAAACAAGGAGGCCTGACAATACGCCACCCATCCCCTCTGTTGCAGCCATGTTTTGAAAAAATATATATTGTATTCTGTTATTTGTTTTTCTTTTGTGGAGGGGGGGGGGGGTGTTAATTGAAACCACATGTGCTCAGTGGTCAATGTCTGCACTTTTCAGCATGAAGATAATCTGTTGCATATAAAAGAAATGTTTGTTGATATACCGTAACTATTCATTTTTGATTTGTTAAAGAAAATGAACAATTATAATTAGTGCAATTAAGTTGATTATGTTATCAATATTATAGATATTACAATTTCCTCTTATATTATATTATCCAATAGAGTAGGTATATTTTAGCCCAGATTTCAGCCTACCATATTGGTTGCGTGTGCCCACTTTGAGTTTAAATATTTAGGAGGGTAAAATTTCTCCTTAAGCAAATAAAGTACTGTCCAAGGTGGTTTAGCCCAATTATCGGATTGGTACTGTGGGTCATTGGTTGAAATGGTAATGGGTTGGGAATTGTAAAGTGCATACTACATGGTCTCTATGCGCTATACTTATTTTTTTTTGCTCTATCTATATACATACTGTAAGCTTGTTCCAGACTCTGCGCAGATGCATACTCAGATGCAGGATACATCTACTGTATTCCATGCTTAGTTTATAATTATCTCACATTCAAAATCCAATGTGTGGTGATAGATGTTGGCATTGTGACAGTGCCAGTGGCGGATCCAACATTTTTTTACTGGTCTACGTGGGTGGCAGTCGGGACCTATGGTCGGAAAGGGGGGAACTTGTCAAGAGGAAATGTTCACTTGCCTTTGCAGGGGCCCAGGGAAGTTTCAGAATCCATTTTAGTCTCTTGTGCAAGTGATTTTATGCTTGGTTATTGAATTTTGGGCTGGGAGGGTTCGGGGTCCTTTGCAACCTCCTGGATCCGCCACTTGACACTTGAATGTGTATCAAGTCTTTTTTTTTTTGTTTAGTGTAAATCAATCATTCCTCTAGAGTACAAAGTTATTCAACTGTTGTTATTTTGCCCAGACTGTTTTAGAAGTACTGTACTGTATACTGTACTGTATGAATCACTTGAAAAAGTATTGAAGTATGTTTGAAATAAGACATGTCATGATGAAATTATTACATTCCTAATTGTTGCTGTTTTTTGTCTTTTATATATTATTATTATTATTGGGGGGTTTTTTTTGTATATTGTATATTATATTTTTTGCAGTTTGTCATACATATGATTTACCGATTATTCTAAAAAATTAATAATCTTGTATTTTAAAATAAAGATATTTTTGAAATGCTTCTCACCATGCAATGATTATACATTTATGTTATTAATACATATTGAGTTTGTTTTTGTTCTTTGAAAGATGATGGATCTACTTTGTATTCTTAAAGGTGTACCATCTGTTATAAAATATAAAAACCCTTAAAAAATTCAAGCAAACCATAGATTATAAGAATCAAGTAAGTTAAATATTTGAATGGCGCACATTAAAAAATTTGTGTAACTAATTTACAGACCATTTTACTGCAGTAATATGACACTGATTAACAGCTAAGGGCCGGGTCTATATACAAACATACATTTGTATGGTTGAAGATAATGTTTTCTCATTTTAATTTTCAACGTTAGTAACATAGTAATATAAAATATAAGAACTCAAAGTGTTTTTACCTCAATACAGGCGAATATTATCTTTAAAACATACGGTGTAAAACTTGTTTTCTTAATCTGTTAGGATAACAGATTGTGTCTAAAAACTTAAGATTATTACTGTGTTTGCCAAGCTCGCCTAAAAGTAATCTATCAAAAGAGATATAGACACGTCTTGTAATGGACTTTTTCCTAAAATTACTGTGCTGTATCTGTGTATGCTTATTTTGTTTTTAATTATTACATATTTTATTTTCATTATAATTGTTTAATACACGTAATCTCTGTTTTCCTGTTTAATTATATAGGAATGGATATAATGAACATAACCTGTTGGACATACAATTAATAATGTTATAGCATCATTCAAGAAAAGGACATGCTCTTGTGATTTAGTTATGTATTATGCCTCCTCGGCTGTTACTATGTACGTTTTCACGGGCATTTCCGTTTTGGTTTAGTTTTCTTTTCATTGCTTATTCCCCAAGCATTAGTGGATTTCTTAGAAGCAGGAGACTAGTTTAAAAATTACACCAGCTTCCATCATATAAACCTACTAATGGTTTCTTATTAAATTATTTCCAGTAATTATAGAGGGCCGGCTGCGTGACCGATAGAATGATACTGGTAACACTTGTTTGGTATTTGCCACTATAAATTATAAGTTGATGTTTTTACGAAAGTGAATAAATATACTTTATAAATATAGATTTTCTTTCAATTTTCTTTTATATCTCGAAGTCTCAGTGAATGACTAAATTATATTGTATAATTACCGTATTTATTCGAATAAACGCCCCTGGGCGATCCCAAACAGGTTTAAAAAATGCAATTCTACTGGAGTACAACATTAATTGTGTTGAGAATGATTTCGCTTCCATTAGCTTTGCTTAAGGGAGGGGCGTTTATTCGAGGGAAATAAACGCCCGGACATTTATTCGATGAAGGCGTTTATTCCAATTGAGGGGCGTTTATTTGAGGGAGGTTTACTCAAAGCGAGGTGTTTATTCGAATAAATACGGTATTATATAATCATTGTATATAGTAGGCCTAATATTCTAGTCACACGTTTATTGTTTAGGATTATCCAGCAAAGCTTATATTGAGGTTATCGATGCTATATAGCCATAGAAATAATTCCACCATGATGTCGCATATGAAGCTTCGGAGTGAAATTTTCGATTGTAAGAAAGATCCAGACAGTTTGAGAGGATTGAAATTAGAAAATAGAAGAGCCTCAAACTACCAATCCAGAGCCTCATTCGAATGATGATGTGGTGATCATGATGATGCAGAAAAATGTGGACGAATATTGCAACTTAACGGTATTTTCTCCATGATATCTATACTGTCATTCAGGCCGTTTTTTCTTAATATGCTTGTATTGTATTATGAGGATCTGCTCATCCAATAACAAACTGATTTACAGACGTTAACCAGGATTAGTTGAACAATATACAGCAGTTTAATTATGATGATAATATTTCACGAAGATGTGATGGTTGATTACTTTCAATAACATCACTCTAAATGCAAACTCATGGGGAGTCTAACAACCAACTTAGCCTAATCACATGGTCCAGGCTTTGGTTTTCACTCATAACTTGATTTAATTTAATATGACTATTGATACAATTCAAGTAGATTCGCTACATATTGTATCGTGTATCGTGATAATAAAATATATGACATTTAGTGTTTTAGACCTTTAAAACACCCAGTGAACTTTGACATATGGATAAATGTTCTTAATCAAGCGGACTAAACTCCAATCATTCGTTAAAGTAAACAAGACTTGGTACCAAAATGAAAACACCCTTTATGCCTACCAATTGTCTATAGACTAGCAATCCGCCTACATGTTTCTTATGCTCAGTTCAACGTGTTGATATTTTCCGATAATATCTAGGCCTATATTCAAAATCAAAGGCTAACATTGTATTAAGATGGTCGAACCGTAAGTTGTAACATTGTGTTTTTATGTTAATAATGAAAATACGAAAATAATGCTGCAATATAGATTCTGTATTAATTATTGTTAATATAACTTTAATGTAGGAGACCTTTCCTCTCCAAACTTGATTGATTGACAAAGATGGATTGTTTTTACTTACAAATTACTGTCTCATTTAATTATTACATTTCATATTGAGTATCTCGTTCCGATATTCAATCATCGTTTGCCACATAATTAGTTTTTAATTCAGGTTTTTTCCTTTATTATTTACTATGTCTATTACTGCAGCCTACTTTGTCATTATTATTGTGAACGTCTCCTGTCTTTTTGAAGACTTCTTTTTTCATTGCTGTTACTGTAGCCCGCTTCAGTGGTTAACCATACTCAAAGAAACAAGATGTTCTTTTATATTTATTAGAATTAAATAATCGGTACAATTTTTCGTAGTATTTTTAACCATATACTACTAATAACAATAACAAGTATTTATATACCACCAATTAAAATGTTTTCAAAGGCGCTAAGAGAGGAAGTAAAGCAAGTTTACATTCCTGTAATAAATATGTCTTTGGATTTTTCTTAGATATCTCTATTACATATTTTAATTGCTTTTTAAATTATATTAAGAGGTTATTCTGATGACGCTTTTATTGTTATCATATGTATGCTTCATATGGACCACTTTGAAATAAAGTGGAAGGAATGCATTTAAGTTTACAGATATCGTTTTGCAGATAACTTTACACAATGAATAGTGATACTGAAGTGAACAACAAATCACTTGTGTTATATAATCCTCAAAGTGTTCATGCTAACACAACAAAAGACGATGTTCCTGAAATAAGGTAATAGCTTCGCACTTAGATTCAGTACATGTTTTAAGAAGCTAATGTTTATTTGCAAATTCGATTACAGATGTATCGACGGAATTATTGTTTCAGAGGTTTTTTGGTAGCCAACCGACCATCGTAGTCTAGCCTCTGTTGTTTTTATCCAATATCAAGGCAGCCGCGTTGAATAGCATAATGTTTAGCAAAATTTAAGCCTGCTTACGATCATAGTACTCTTTATTCCATTTTTCAGTATGAGCGTCATTGAAAGAAAATCGGAATATTCAATTTAAACAGTTAAATTATTAGGTATTGTATAACCATAGAGAAAATAGAACAGTATAATACTGAAAACAATTTGTGATGATTGGGCCGGACGTGAATTATGTAGGCCTACCCCTTGTAAGGAAATAATTATTTCGAAATTCGATGGTTAGATATAATATGTTGACTGACAATTTCTATAGACATACATTTTCGATAAATTATGAATATGGCCTAGCATTAGATTATTGTTACTATCCGATTTCAGTGGAGATGAGCAGAATATTCATGGAATATTAATATTCAGCCCTCAAAGTAAACATGGAAGTAACAATAGCAGCACCATAGTAAAGTAAGCACATTACAAATTTTTATCAAAATATTAATAAACTCAAACGAATTCAATAGTGTATTGTAATTTTGCTCACTTTCTATATTTGCATACGGTATTAGCTTTCACATGTAAAAAAAATAACGAGAACAATATTTTCAATATAAACAGAAACATAGTAATCGTTACTTTTTTTTTTCATCCTAAAATTGCCTTGTACTTCGATAAATTTAAGGACGTTAAATATTTATGATATTTATATTTAAATCTGAGATGAATATCGTTATTGTTAATGAATTAGGAGCAGTGGAAATGAAGACAGTAGTCATGCAACAATTGCATTCAGTCCCCAAAGTAAGCATGGAAGCAACAGCATTAAACAAGGAAAGTAAGGAAATCTTTTCTTTTTATTTCTCATTTTGAATAATTACAATAAGTGCTTTTTACCCGTCTCTCACAGGCCGGCATTTATTTTTTGGGGCTCCTGAGCACCCGGTCGTCTGTGGCAGGGCAAATGTGTTTCCCGTTCCTTTGTTCGAGCCACCTAGGCAGAGGTCCGGGATTGCGCTAGGGTGGTGATGGATGGTGATTCCGAAGAATATTTGCATCTTATTTTGCCTGTCTTTCCCATCCATGTCTGGTCCGACACAACTTAATATACATTAAGATTAAATAAATAATTAAAATTAATTAATTCACATAATAATGCGGAAAATGGCTACATGTACACTCGGCAGGTGGAAAACGGCGCCGCGAGCACCCCTACTAAGGGATGGATACGTGCGCCTAACAAAATGACATTATTATTATTATTATTATCTTATCTATTAAGCCTCTCATTTTAGAGACTCTTTTGCTCTTGCTAATAAAAATATTTTTAAATTTTGAATTAGGAGCAGTGGAGATGAAGTCAGTAGTCGTGGGAAAATAGTGTTCAGTCCCCAAAGTAAACATGGAAGCAACAATACTAAGGATGAGAAGCAAGTTAATATTTCATGTATAACTTACACTGTGTTAATCCACTTTATCTATTTATTGAATCTCTCAATTTAGACTCTTAATTGCTATTGCTGATAAAAGAAAAACCTTTTATATTTCTTTAAAGGAGCAGTGGAGAGGAAGGTAGTAGGCATGGAAAGGTAGCGTTCAGTCGCCAGAGTAAACATAGACACCAAAATGCTAAGAAGGAAAAGTAAGTTAATTTAGACACTAAATTGGTATTGAATAACGTTTATTTTCTTTCCTCACTCAGCTCCAACCATGGTGAGGCTGAGAGGTAGGTGGATAGAGCCTCCATCTGCCAATATCCCTTGCTGGGCCCCCTCTATTTCACATTCCCAGATCCGCCACTGTGTCGATCTTGATTTCTTTAGACTCTTGGATGAACTTGTATTGTAATCATAAATTATACTGCTGTAATACAATACCCTTTCATTTTTATGCTCCATTTTTCCGGTAAATGTACAGATGTTAGTTGCATTGTAAAGCTTCGTCTACACTATCAGATTTCATTTTTTAAAAAGTCACATAAAATGTGATGGAAAATCAGAGTTGAACACGTTCAACTTTTTTTGATACAATTTGATAGTATGTGATATGACGTCATCGTACCCATATATGGGCACATCACGTCCTTTTGTCTCATAAAATTTGATAGTTTAGACAAAGCTTCTACACTAAAGTTACTATTCTTTACTTTTCTGTTCCAAGGGTTTCATATTCGAAATGTTGAACTCAATACACTATATCAATTTATGATTTGTGGTCTAGGTCTAAAATTGATATAAAGCATGTTTATAAATATTATGTTCCAGGGGTTGGGCCATTGGGGATGGGGATAGGGGGGGGGGCCAGGTAGGGCAGTTCTTATCCCCGGCGCCTTTTTTAACCTCCCAGAATATTTCAACCAAGTACCCAATTATACCAACCGAAACACAACCGCTGTGCCAAGCTCTCCCATTGTTTATGTTCCATGAAATATAATTATGCTTGATGCTAAAAGTTTAATCCTATTGATATTTTGTCAAATTGTAATAATTATTTGTTTGATATAGAAACATCAGAGAAGGCAGTGGTCTAGGGAATGTTGCGTACAACGCACAAAGTGTCCATCGCAACAGAGCAACGTCACCAAAGTAAGTCATGATTATACTACTAACTACTACTGCTACTGCTGCTGCTGCTGCTGCTGCTGCTGCTGCTACTACTACTACTACTAACTACTACTACCACCACCAACACCGCCACCGCCGCCACCACCAACACCCCGCCGCCGCCGCCACCGCCACCGCCACCGCCGCCACCACCAACACCACCACCACCACCACCATCATCATCACCATCATATGGCTTCTCAATTATTTGAATATTACTACTCTTTCGGGTAAAAACAATTAATCAGAAAATGAAATGGAGCAGAGTGATCTTATTGTTGTGGGATCTTGGATTTGAATGCCAATCTAATGAAAATGTTGTAGGTCTGTATATTAATGAGTTAACGAATTCATGAGCTTTCCCAGCTAGCAAAGCGACGTTGGCCCAACGTTGGCAAGCGTCGGTAAGCGTCGGGGTCGGATATCTGACGTTGGTACGACGTTGGTGTTTGGTTGCAAAATTTGGTCGGAGAGGTAACGTCAAACCAACATTGGAATTTCACGTTGGCCCAACGTATGAATATATTTGTCGATTTTCCGATGTCGTCCCAACGTGGATAAGCGTCCCAACGTGGACTACCGATTGGTACAACGTCACGATTTGTTACTGGCCCGACGGGCAAACTACTAAAAAGATGGTTGGATACTACCGTTGGCCCAACGTTGGCTAGAGGTTGTAAATATTAGATGTGATTGTAGACGTTGTCTCAACGTCACAGTACGTTGTTGGCCCGACGTCGGTAAACGTTTGAAATGGTGGTTGGTTAAAACCGTTGACCCGACACGTTGGTTAGAGGTTGTAAATGTTAGGATGTGATAACAGACGTTGTCGCAACGTTAGAGTACTTTGTTGGCCCGACGTCGGTAAACGTTAGTGAAGGTTGGTTACAACCGTTGGGCCGACGTTGGTTGGAGGTTGTAAATATTAGATGTAATTAAAGACGTTGTCGCAACGTCATACTTTGTTGGCCCGACGTCGGTAAACGTTTGAAATAGACGTTGGTTACCACCGTTGGACCGACGTTGGCCAGAGGTTGTAAATAGTAAATGTGATTACAGACATTGTCTCAACGTCACACAGAACGCTGTTGGCCCGACGTCGGTAAACATTTGGAATGGAGGTTGGTTACAACCGTTGGCCCGACGTTGGTTAGAGGTTGTAAATATTAGGATGTGATTATAGACGTTGTCCCAACGTCACAAGTACTTTGTTGGCCCGACGTCAGTAAACGTTAGTGGAGGTTGGTGACAACAGTTGGGCCGACGTTGGTTATAAGTTGTAAATTTCAAACGTTTACCGACGTCGGGCCAACAGAGTGCTGTTATGTTGCGAAAAAAAAAATTGGTTCGTGTGGGAATCGAACACACAACCACCAGGTTTCCCGTAACATGAATAGTCTATTTTTTTTTCTAATTTGCATAATGAATTTTTCAAAAATGTTTTTCTATTTTTTACAAAAGTGCGTAAGGTATGGAGATGTTAACAATCAAAAATCCATTATTAATTTAACTCTACATTTTTAGACAAAAAATAAACCCCCTTGACCCTCGGCCCATTTTTGACACCATGACCATGCGTAATAGTAACCTGCAGTGTATATATACAAAGAATTTTTTATAGTAGGATCAGAGTTGACTAACTGGTACTTGGTGTGGTACTAGGTTTATCGCATTTATGGTTTAGGGGCCGCGGTTTACCTCCCTCCGTTCAGTCATGCTGGATTAGGAGTAGTAAACTCAGCGATCGTGGGTTCGATTCCCACACGGGGCAAGTTTTTTTTTTAATTTTTTAATTTATTTTTATTTTTATGAAGGTCTTGGGTTCGATTCCCACACGAGCCAGTTTTTTTTTTTTTTTTTTTTAGTTGATTGGTGGATAATGAATAGCATGGAGGTTGTGTGTTCGATTCCCACACGAACCATTTTTTTCCCTTTAAGGCAGTTTAGTTGATGGTGGATAATGAATGTATTGTACTCGTTGATGACGTCGCGAAAATAACAACAAATATGTCCGAGCCTAGGCCGTCATGGAAGCTCACTGGCTCCTGTGTAATTCATGTTGGGCTAACTACAGACGAAAAGGTTACAATCCTTTCAGAGATAAGCTGGAAGAAAGTTTTAGACAGTGCCCATCAATGGAAGGATTTTATACTAAGCAATGGAAGTTAGCGAAGTCCTTGGCTTGCTTAACCGTTTTTCTTCGATCGTCGCTTCTAACCATCTAGGCGCGTCTAGCCTAAAGAGGGCCTACATAGCAGGTCGTTACCCACATCTTTATATTTGCGCAAGTAATTAAAATTTTTTATTGAGCAGATTAATCACACTGATAAACATTTCTACTACATTCGGCTGATGATGTTCACATCATTCCAAAACGATAGGGGTTGAAATGAACTATAACATCGGGGTAACCCCCTACCCTTCCGAAAGATGGGTTCTTTAAAAAAGTGCACACGAGCCATATGTATACACTTGACCTCCATTTTAAGTCCTTATCCGAGAAGACTTGGTTCTACCAACCGAACCATGGCATGGGCGAGGAGCGGCTGGAACCAGCGCAGCTAGCGGCGCTCCTGTCCATTCGACTCGCCTTAACTTAACTTGCTTGCGCTACCACGACAAAAAAAAATATGGATGCTATATAAAATTTTGTCTTGGCCAGACTACCTGGTACAAAACCGTTTACTAAGCTGGATTGACCATGATGCTTGCTCGGTTTCCATACAATAGCTCACCCTATCGGCGACAGTCGCCGGCAGCTGTTGTCGGAAAGGTTGAACCTGGTTCAACTTTGCCGATCATTCAGGGATGGTCCAGAATGCGAAGCCCCCGAAAAATCTGACAATTTAGGGGTTTCAAAGGCTTAGCTAATCGATTTTAGAGCTACTAATATGTAGAAAATACATATAATTTTTTTCTCCCCGACGAATTCTGCTTTTTCTCCCCGACGGGGAACAGCTCTCCCCAGCGACGGGGGAGCCGTGCCCTGCCCCTGACCCCCCCCCTCTGGTGCCACCCCTGCCGATTGCGTTTAAGACGAATCAGGGTGCATCGACTAGCTGCCCTGACGTATTATGAAGGCACCTCGATTCGTCTGAACGCAATCGGCAAAGTTAAACCAGGTTCAACCTTTCCGACAACTGTTGGCGCCTGTCGCCGATAGGGTGAGCGATTCTATGGAAACCGAGCTTTACCTGGGATAAAGCGGATTTATGTTACAGCCGAATCCACAGTCGTGGTGCTGGTATTGCTCGACGGGGGTTGATGTTCCAAACTAGAGAAGGAAGGGTGTGGGTGCGATGTCCCTGACGGGGAAATAGGTGATGTCCCTGATGGAAAGGCCAATTTTCCTGACGGCAAAGTAGGCGGGAACAGGAGGAACGGCCAACACCACTCAAGGGTTGGGTCTAAAGAGCGGAACACCTGGAAACTCCCACAATTAGCGATTTCAAAGGAATTTATTTTTCTCCCAGATTTTGCTTTCGGACATGAGAAGGGGAACTCTTGACATCCCCCCCCCCACCATCATTGACGCGAAAATCGGCCTTTCCACCGGGGACATCGCCCCTTCTCCCGTCTGGGACATCGACACCTGTCGGGGACATCGGCCAATCGTCGGGACATCGCAGCCACCCCCTTCCAATTCTATTTTGGAACATCAAACCCCCGTCGAGCAAATACCTGAGCACCACAACTGTGGATCCGATGTCCCCGACCAAGGAGCGATGTCCCCGATGGAAAGGCCAATTTTCCTGACGGCAAAGTGGGCGGGGACAGGATCCGGCCAAGCACAACTCAGAAGGGATCTAAAGAGCGAATCACCTGGAAACTCCAACGATTAAGGATTTGAAAGGCTTATTAATCAATAGAGGTTTTTCTTCTCAGACAAATTTTGCTCCCAGACATGAGAGGGAGAGCCCTTGGTACCCCCACCGTTGACGCAAATCCCCTTTTCCCGTTTAAAGCAAAGTCTGTGATCAACCAACTTGCATTAAATACTATTAAGATGATAAACTTTGCCATTTACATGAGAATTCTTCAACTACTGAGGGCTTTCATTCTCCACTCTCATATCGTAGGCCTACCGGCGGCGCCAGCTGTGGGGGCGGGGGTGCTTAAGTTCCTCTACCAGACCATGTCAAGCCCCCCACCCCACATTTGACTAGAGGTCGTCGGGCAGTCAGAGCTAAAACTAAAAACTCGAGTACTATCCTTTCCAAGCCACTGGGGCTCATAGGGCTGGAGCTTATCTCCAGTTTCTGTAGTGTGAAGCGGATGAGAGTTGTACGTATGTCTGAAATGTTTTATACATGAAAACTCAATGGATAATACTGAGAAATGGGCCGAAAGGGCTAAAACAAAATCAACATTGAATGAATATATGAGATACAAACATATACCAAAAGCATATCTGTTCAGCTTCTCTGTTTAATAAGCAGAATTTTGAATCTGTTAGTTTAAAGTTTAAAGCAAGGACTAACCCATTGAATCTGAAGAAAGAAAATGTGCATGGTCTAGTAATGATGAACATCAGGTTACGTAAACTATGTAATAATGATAGCATCGAAAGAATTCCTAAACTGAGCGTTTCCCTTTATAATTCTAGCGGTATTGAGACTGGCGAGGACGTTCTTTGGAAGAGCACCAACTTCGCTCGCAAAGGTGTCGGCACCAAGATGGCCTTCATACTGGATCGACCACGAATTGACTCCAACTATCCAAAGAACACAGCTGGTACCGAGACTTTGAAAACAAGTAAACGACGAACCTCTGATCAAAAGTCCTCTGAAAAAGAACCTGGCACGTCTGGCGACTCAAGCTCCCTCGCACCGGATGCTTCATACCATGCCGACTCTGTACACGACATCGTGGAATACTTTGCGAATGATGTCACGACGCTTCATGCGTTGCCGAATGTATTCAAGTCGTGTACATTATTAGCTAAGTGCATGTGGTCTATAATTTTCTTGACAGGGGTGTTTCTGTTCTTGTTTCAAACTTCTCTTGTCATCAGGAAGTACCGCAGTGGACCCATTCAAGTTCTGTCTCTTATACACATCTAGATGTGTATAAGAGACAGTATCTGAAATAAAATAAAACACAAGGTATTTTTCTTACATTTAAAAAAAAAAAAAAACACTCATAAAGGCTTACTTCATAGAGCATCGTTAAATATTACAATTAGTTTGTATGTGTGGTTGGATGTGACAGAAACAAAAAAACAAATCAATTTAACTGACTAAAAATACATACCTGATCTTGACATAGTAGTTCAACCTTTTCTTCTGCAGCACTAACACTAGCAGCGTCTTGACTATCATGGTCTTTACCATTCGTCATGCCTGGATGACCACCGTTCTCCACGCCAAGCACTTTCTCGTAGACGTGCTCAAGAACTTTACGAATCTGAAGCATGTCACTAGCTGACAGCCTATCCCTAAAGTATACATATTAAAAAAATATATATATAATGAATAAAAAATCCTAACAAAAAAATATGATTCATATGAATCCTTACAAAAAATGCTAAATATGGAAATAATGATCTTGACTTTTGACAATGATAATGATTATTATGACAGCGATGACTTTAATGAGGATATTATTTTATAAACTTTTTATTCAAGTTGTATTAAATTAGACACGAGGCGTAGTTACTGTATTAATAGGATTATGTTTATTGTTCGATGTTCAGTATACAAGTGAATAGAAACTATAGTATGTGTTCTAATATAAGGTATAATAATTAATAATAATAAGGTGGCTGAATACCTTTCCAAGTTTTAAGTAATGATGAGTAATAAGAATATCACATCTGGTCACAGTTTTTGCTGATAACAAATAATGATGATGATGTTGATTTGGGCAATGAAGGTGACAATTAATCATAAAAAGATTTTAAATTGATTTTCTTGATAATTGAAATTGGAATTAATAATAAAGACAGTGATATGATAATGTAGATGGGAATAATGAAGATGATGTCAATCTTCTGGATACCGACGATGATGATAACAAATAGCAGTCTATATCAAAAATAAAAAGACAACTTACTTTTTAAGAGTCTTTGCACCAGATGTTGAATGTGGTTGCAGGAAAAATGAGATCTTGTTAAACTTGGGTTGCGTTTTCTGAAACACACCAATGGTAAACAGAACTACAATTATACAGTTGAACTTGCCTAAGTCGAATCCAAAATGACATTGAAAAATTGTTCGACTTAGATAAAATTCAACTTACAGATCATTAATGAATGGAAAGCACAACAATTTGCCTTGTAAAATAAGATTGACTTAGAAATTATGCGAGTTAGGGGAAAGTTGACTTAGGCAAGTTTAACTGTACTTGTGATGTATATTTTCCCAACTGTATAATATATAATCATAATATATAATCTAAATTATAAAATGAGATAAGTGATGTGATTCTATCAAAACAATAAGCAGGGTAGCAGAAAGTAAAGATGGAAGCCAACACTGACATTAAATTACTGAAAAGCAATATTAAAATTGCGTGGTGTGTATTTGTGTTTCTTACCTCCACTGTAATATCAATAACCCACTGAGGGACAGTATCTTGAAGAAGAATTTGTTCAGAATCTCCACCTGCATCGCGACATAATAATCTAAACATTGTTCTACCGTTCACCTCGCTTAAAATGACCGGTGTATGTCCTGTCTCTTATCCACATCTCGATGTGTATAAGAGACAGGCCTTAACATATAATATCATTACGTTTTTGTCAATTGAGTGTGATACAGACCATTATAATATTATGTGCGCGCAAGTACACATCAGTTTGTCAGAAAAACATGCTCGACTTATGACAGTTATTCAGACCATTATGATATTATGTGCGCGCAAATAAACATCAGGTTGTCAGAAAACATGCTCGATTTATGACAGTTATTCAGATAAAAGTTCGGTTTTGGTCCAGTTCAACATGTTTGAGTATAGCCTCATCATGATCAATCATTTAATTACGTAATTATATTTTACTATGAAGCTCCTTGCATTGAGGATGATTTCAAGTGCCACAATGAATTGATATGTGTAAAACCGTTTCTGATCTGCGATGGTGTGAATCAGTGCCGAGACTTTAGTGATGAATACGGCTGCACTTACGGTAAGCTTTAATTCATGCCTTAACTCTTTGTCTTTCAGTTGATGGTTGAAGCAATATGTATTTTCAGATCTGAGACAATTTGACGTTATTGCGATGCATGTACGTGTGCATGCGTAATTATATTCTTAATTTACTGGATTGATTACCCTCGCTAAATGGTGTAAAAATAGAAGAGTAGAAATCTTCTGATAGATCTTCGCTACCATAATCTCTGACAAAATAGCGATATTATGCGATATAACTCTTGTTGAATATTGTATAAAATAAATGTAGGTAGTAGTAGGTAAATCCTTGCCGAGCCATGGGGCTCATAGGGCTGGAGCCTGTCCGCAAGTTTTAATGGCTTTCCAAAGCAGTTTAGAAAATCATATTAGATATTTACAATTTCGTTTTATTCATAATATTTTGCCAACTAACTATTTCTTGCACAAAATTGGTCTGATTGAGACGAAGGAGTGCTCTTTCTGTAAAGAAAAGGAAGAAACTATTAAACATCTGTTGTGGGATTGTAAATTTGTAAGGGATTTCTGGAATAAAATAGTCTTATGGGGTAAAAGTTTGGACCTGATTATAAATATTAATTTTCAAACCATATGTTTCGGATTCACCGATGATAAATTCGACCACTTTAAAAACATGATTATTCTATTAGGTAAACGATATATTTATCGCTGTAAGGTTAAGGAAAGACATTGAGTATACTTGCTTTTAAAAAACAAATTATGATGACAGAAAGGGCCGAGAAAATAATTGCAGAAAGAAACAATAAGTTATTATTTCACAATAGAAAATGAAGTGCCTTAACAACTGTTAAATAAGAGATTACATATTTTGTTTTAATAATTCAGGCCTGCCAACCTATTCAAAACAATATTCATTTTCATTCTTCAGTCTGTAATCCATGTTTTTTTTTTCGCTATGATGCCCATGTACTGAGGGTGTGGATTGCTTATAAGTCAAGAGTATAAACCAGACAAATGCGCCCTTTCTGCTTAAATATAATTAATTGCTGCTTGTGTGTGTTTTTGTGTCTGCTTGTGTGTGTTTGTTTGTGCTCGTATTTAAGATTTGTTTATGTGTGTCTGTGTTTTCTTGTGTGTGTGTGCTTGTTTTGTGTTTTTGTTAATTCGGTTTTCGTGTATAGTTATGTGTATGTCTGTGTGTCTGTCTATGTATGTGTGTGTATGTTTGTGTGTGTATGTTTGTGTGTGTGTTTATCCTTGTGTGTGTTTGTGTATGTATTTGTCTGTGTGTATATATGTGTATATTTGTATGTGTGTGTGTATATATGTGTGCATGTGTATATATATTTATATATGTATTTGTATG